CGGAGGTGGAAGTGAACAGCGTTCGACGAAACAGCGGTCTCCGGGGCACGCAGGTGGCGGAGAGGGGAAAAAGGGCAGCCGGGAGAAGAAGAAGCCTCGCAGCGAAGAGAAGACAAAGCATCACAGAGGAGACGGTCAGGGGTCCGATGTCGACGGCGATGAGGACGGTCGGGTTTGGGCGGTAACAGGCAGCACCTCAATGAAGACAGGGAACGACTTGAGGCCTGGGTGTATTACACGGCCTGGCGAGCAGGACCCTGTGATTAGCTCCACCAGCGAAACACAGTTTGTCAATGCGGTTGGCGGGGCGGGTGTCGCAAAGYATGGAACATGCTTCGCTCAGCTCCAAAAACGGTTGGCGGATTGTCTCAGATCAATCCGAACCTCGGAGACGACCTCGTTGTCCGGAACTCAGTGCCTTCCGGGAAGCGAGAGGACAACATACCACGGGTCGGGCAGCGACAAGTTGGAACCATGTCCTGTTTCGCCTCAAAAGGAATTTCGGATTAATCCGAACCGCGAAGGCCGAGCCATCGAGGGAGCACAACTGTCTACAGAACTGGAACGGGTGGTCCGGGTTTTCGAAAACCCTCGCGACGAAATTCAGATTCATCCGAGCCAGGAAGTCGTGTCTGCCATGACAGACGATCAGTGTCAGGATGCAGTAATGCTGTCCGTGGAAGCCCACAAGGAGCTGCAGGCGGACTGTCAGACTGAGGGTGAGTTGGCGACCAGTTCCAATGTCGAGCCCAACACACTCGGAGCCAAGTAAGCAGTCGTAAGCGACTCCCCGGTGCGGTCACGTCGGCGTCATTGGAAACTGCAGGGGCTCGGATGAATCCGAACCAGGGCCCTCTGAATATCTCCCTCCCTGATGCATCTTTCGAGACGACCGTGATTCGAATTCATCCGAGGCACACGGACGAAGGACTTTAACTCGCAGGCGTTAAGGGTTGTCGACTACTGACGACTTTGGACAAGGACAATTCCGCCGACGACCGGATTGATCCGACACTCAGCGACGCCGGGATGGAGCTACCAGTTCAGCCGGGATACGACGATCCCTTGTACTCCGCCCTTCACAACGAGGCGATGGGGGAGGACGTTCTGAAGAAGGCCTCTGACACTGTTGGAGATAGATTTCTCTATTTGAGTGACGACAACAAAGACACAGCCTACGAGGACAAGAAGTTAAGGGGGGGAGAGGTGTTGTTGGACATCCATGAGACATTGAGCCCAACACAATACGACACAGTGGCAATGGAGAAAACACAACCTGTCGATGTTGTGGACGTCGACGATCTTTGTCCAGAGACGAATATACTGTCTACGGTCATCGACGCCGACATCTCGAGCCTGTCAAGTTTCCCTGTGGGTTTGGAGCACGTCGTCACCTCGTCGACTCGCGCAGGGGTGCCAATCGTGTTGGGACTATCGTCGGTGGGCTCTGGTGAAGTGGTAGCTAGGCCTGGTAAGCACTGACTTTCTCTGCTATCTTCCCGCTCGTCAGCCCGTTCGTGAAGTGTTGTTTGCTTCGTCGATTTCGGGGAGGTGTATAGGCGGCCGCCAACTGGATTGTGACGATGTGCTTCGTGAGGTGCTGTTTGCTTGGTCGCTCTTGCGAACTTGTGTTGTTGATCTCCTGCTGAACTGTCTGGGTGGCTATTTCTTGTACAGGTCGACGAACTCGTGGACAAACACCCATGTCGCAGGAGCCGCCTGCCCTCGCCAGGTT